AAGACAAAATAAGTCTTAAAAAAGGAAAAAAAAAACCTTTAGTTATGTAGTCAAGGGAAACTCACAGAAAACTGAATGAAGTCTTGTCATCGAGAACACTTTTTTTAAATAATTTCATGAGATACTTATAACTACTTTATCCAGTACTTATTTTTCAATATAATTAGTTATGTTATTAGAAAGGGGCACAACATAAACATAATTTATATATATACATATACACTTACACATATATACACACATACACATACATACATGCATACATATATATATATATATATATATATATATATATATATATATATATATATATATATATATATATATATATATATATATATATATATATATGTATATATATACATATATATATATATATATATATATATATATATATATATATATATATATATATATATATATATATATATATATATATATATATATATATATAAGTGTATATAAATATATATATATATATATATATATATATATATATATATATATATATATATGTATATAAATATATGTATATATATACATATATTTATATATATACAAATATATGTATATATATATATATAAATATATATATATATATATATATATATATATATATATATATATATATATATATATATATATATATATATATATATATATATATATATATATAAGTGTATATAAATATATATGTATATATATATATACATTTTTTTCAATGGTACTATATAGTTTCCAGTTGCTCTAATGCTAAATTTATTTATATCAATTTTCAAAAAGTTATTTATAAACCGACTTGGAACAATTCCCATTTTATGTTTGAACATAAACAAAATATTTTGATATATATTGATTTGGTAAATATTTACAGCATTCATCCGTTCATAGTAATGGGTTTGCATGAGTCAGTTTGTTTTTATAAAATATAATTCTTTAAGCGAGTTTTTGTCGTCCAATAAGTAAACTTAATTTAGTTTTATGGGTACTTGCCCATGTTATATTGGCATATGATAGATAGCTGTGTATAAAGGAAAAATAAAGAAGTTTTAATTTTTTGAACGATAGATAATTTCTTGCTTTATAGAATAGACCAATGTTTTTTGAGATTTTTGTATTAATAGTACTTATGCGAGAGTTCCATGATAAATTCTCGTCAAGAAGCACACCAAGAAGTTTAGATGATTGAGTTCTGCAAAGTGAGAATAACACAGCGCATCAACTTAATATCAGTAGATAAATTGTTGACACCATTCTGGGTTGATAAAGGCTAGATTTTTTTACTGAGCAACTTCAATTTTTTCTTCATTTTTATTCTGTTGTAAAAATTCCATTTCTTCCTAATCATGCTAAGCTTCATCTCAAAAATTTTTATCACCTGAATATTTGTTTAAAACTGTAATTCCTCGAATCATATTGACTTCATTGTCTACACTTGCACATACTTTTTGGTCATTGCTGATACCAAATCTATATAGAGTATTTTCCGCCATTTTTTTTGATAGCTATAGAGTTGTACTGCCGTTGTGTATCTATCAGTGCCAAAAATTTTAAATTTTTTTCGCATAATAATATTGAATATTTATTTCCAAAAGTTATTTAGGTGAAAAAATGCACTATTTAGAAATTATAATTGTTTTAATGAGCGTAACTGTTTAAATTCTTTTAAAAAAATCTCATTACATAAAATAAAAACTTTACGGAAATTTGATATTTCAAATTATCAAAAGGGTTGAGCTGGCTCAGAAGCCAGCTCTGGCAGAAATAATTTTAGCTCCAGCTTCGGCTCAGCTCCATGTAAAATCACCAGCTCCGGATAGCTTCGGCTCCAGATCCGGAGCTGCTCCAAAGCCCTGGATTCTTCATCCAAATACGCTTAAAAATCGCAAACAATGTGTATTTTATGACAAAACCTGCACTAATTTAGAAAACGTTACCTGTGGAATTCCACAGGGATCTATTATTGGGCCTTTATTGTTTATTATTTAGAAAAACGTTTATTATTTAGAAAATTTACTTGTTATTTAGTAAGCTTCAATCTTTTTGCTGACGACACTCAAGTTTTTTATATCCATTCTAACCATAAGACAATCTTTACCACTATAAATCGTGAACTTGACAACCCTAATAAATGGTTTTAAGCCAAAAAACTCTCTCTGAACACAACTAAAAGCAAATATACTCTCTTTTCTAAATCTTTTAAATCTGACAATTACCCTTAAAACTCTCGGATATTTCAATAGAAAAAACCAAGTTGCAACAGACATTCTGTGATAAACTCTTAGCCGTTTTAATCGATGAGCAAATATGTTGGATAGAGCACATTATCCTTATAAAAAATAAAACTTTAAAAAATATTGGAGCTATGTATAAATTAGATATATGTTGGATGAAAATCTATTTACTTTATATTAACTCATAGTTATATTAGTTAATGTAACATTGGCAATGGACAAGCACTTATCCGTCAAAACTAACGAGTATCTTAAAAGAAAAAAAAGAAAGCAAACCCTTTTAAATTAAATAATAATAAATACACCAGTGCCAATCATCTGCTTAGAAAGCTTAGAGTGCTAAATATTAATCAATTAAATATTTCTATTCATGTTTAGATTAAATTATCATATGCAGCCAAATATTTTTGAAAACCCTTTCTTTATTATAGATCATAAATATCAAACAATGCTTTAATTACATAATTATCAGGTACCAAAAATTTTGTTTAACAACCCGAGTTCTTAATAACATACCGAGGACCACATTCTTAATAACATACCGAGTACCACATTTCTTCCAAATAATAGTAAAATTACCACTTCAATTCAAACTTTTAAAAGTATTTTAAAAAAAACAGTTACTTGGTTATGGCGCATCTCAAATTCTATCTTATTTTTGAAATATTCTCTTTAATTTTTTAACTTTTCCTTTTGTTAAAAAGTGATATCGCTCTTTACATCATAATGTAATTAAATACATCATAATGTAATTAAATAAATAAAAAATGTAACACTTTTTATTTAAAAGTATTAAATATTTTACTGAGATAAGATTTGTTAACCAAAAAATGTCATACATTTCCGGAAAAATAAAATTCCTTTAGTAAGATATTGAGAATCAGGAATTTTTTTTTGTTCCAAATATTACGAAACATTTAAAATTGCCAATGCGACAGAATAAGCGCGAATTCCATAAGTGCGAACTGGCATAAGTACGTACGGCGTAAGTGCGAACTGGCATAAGTGCGAAACTTTCGCTAAACGATATTTTGAAGTCTGTAAAGAAGGCTTGTTCACTGAACGAATATAATTGTAAAAAATAAAACTTTTATATACCAAAATGTTTATAATTAAGTTTTTTTTAGTATTGCAACATGTTAACAATTCAAAATTTTATTTTTTGAAGTATTGATGAAAAACAAAAATTTATTATAAAACAATACTGTTTCACGCCACAAGTTGCAATACAGTTTTTAACGAAAAAAAACTTACACAATGCCGCATAATAAACAAATTTAATAACGCTTTAAGAATGAAAAAACATATAATTAACTAAAATACTAATTATTATATTGGAGTTGTTAAGTTTCAGAGCTGTAGCTTGTCTGAAAGGTACTGATAAATTATTTACTAAATTAAGTGAGAACTGACAACGGTCAAAGTTCACGTAAATTTAAATCAAATTTTGGAATCAAATATTTTACTGGATTTTTATATATGAGAATATAAATAGTAAATCTCCGTTTCTGCAGGGCCATATGTAGTCCCCCAAAAATTTTAGAGGATCTTTTTTTTCTTGTTGTTTTTTTTTTAAATTCCTTTTTAGGTTCTGGCCCATAAAAAAACCTTCAAAAACAACAAAAAGCCCCGGGGCCAAAGAAGTCTTGATCCGCCACAGGGCAAATGCATGTGTATGTATAAATATAAAAGTTTAAAATAATTATCAATGCCTACCATAGTCTATGTAGCCTATTTTGACGAAGGACAAGAAACGCATTAATATATATCTATATACATGCGTTTCTTGTCCTTCGTCAAAATAGGCTACATAGACTATGGTAGGCATTGATAATTATTTTAAACTTTTATAACAAATATTATTTTTTCAAAATTTAAAATATTTGAGTTATCTCACAAGGTTAATGTTTCAACTAGTTAGCAGCAATGATATATTATATAAACTTGATGTCTGACTTACGAGACTTTATTGGACAAGAAATGAAGCCGATTTTTTTTCTTTGTAACAATAGTTCGCCATTTTTAAAAAGGCGATAGCTGAAACAGAAATGTTAAATAAATGTTAAAAATGCAAGTCAAAAGTTCCCAATAAATTAAAGATAATTCAAAAACAAATTTTAATAATTATAATTTTATAATTATAAAATACTTATAAAAGTTTTTTTATGTTTATTAAAATATTTTAATTCATAAAAATGATTCAAAAGCGTCTGTCGTTTTACTTTTCTATTCAAAACTTTAATCCCTTTTTATTCGAAAATAAATTAAGGAATCATAATAAATTATATACAAAAATAAATCATTTACAATACAAAATAAATCATTTCCGCTTAACATTTTTACATAAATAGTATTCAAATGTAAAATATATTTACTTCAATTAAGAAGAGAAAAGTTAAAGTTTATTTGTTTACAAATTTAATCCGCCATTTGTATCAAGGGCAAAAAGCATCTTCACTTTTCGGATCGAAGTTAGACATCTAGTTATATAATATATCATTGGTTAGCAGTTTGAAATGTAATTTACTCGCGTATTAAACTTGACCTAAAAATTATACGTTATGATGATCTTTTATTAACTAAATTAATTTATTTTTTTATATATCTTAAATAAATTAAAAAAGTATAATTATTTTGAGTTACTTAAAATAGTTATAATAAGTATAATCATTTAATACACGCGTTTCACCGAAACAATAGAATTTTATAAAACGTATTTATAAAATATTTCATTAAGGGGGAATGATGAAAATACCGCTATTATTTTAAAAGTTTTAAAAGAGCAATTTGTTGTTATGTCGCATTTAAACAAGAGTTTGAACGAATCCTTTTGTATTATCGAGTTGTCATTTTAGCTAAAATATGTAAACTAAGCAAATGAAGTAAGTATAGCAAAATATTAAAGTCTAAAGCTGGCTTCAACTGCAAGTTGTCAATTAATAGGTGCATAATTTATTTTTCACGTTTTAAAATTTTTTTTTGGTTGTTAATAAGCAGTAATAAAACTTTTATTTTAAAATAAATCTCCGTGTTTCAGTTGGAAAATTTAAAAAGTAAGTAAATTTAAAACTAATATAAAATAAAAGTATATTATCAGCTCTAACCAACCTGATTGCATAATAATTTTAAGTTGTTTTCTTCAACAACAAAAATAATAAAAATAAATAATTATTGACAATAAAATAATAATAGTTATTGATTTGCTATATTTTTAAAGTTATTTTTTTTCCCTATAGCTTCTTATATATCATAGCTAACAAGTTTTTTTTTTAAAACTTTGCTGTTGTTCGTACATTGTAAAAAATCAACGTTTACCGAAAAGAATTTTTCCACAAACTTCGAAAAATAAATGACATAATTTATGAAATTCTTAAACAGGAATTTTTATACAGGGTGGCCAGTGGTCTTTAAAAACCTGAAAGAGTCCTGGAATTTAATTGGCCAGTGAAAAGTCCAAGAAAAACATCCATTTTAGCAATAATTTCTTGAAATCTTGAAACTTATTTTTACAATAGTTATTTGAATATCACTGAATTTGATAATTATGTATTTTCTGTAATGTAAAAAATTTGTTTAATGTTACTGTCAATATTATTAACATCTACTAATTATTGAGTTTTTTTAAATTCATATGTTTTTAAAAATACATAGAGAGTTTTTTTTTATGTCGATAAAAGATCAATATATTCTTTAAAATTTCAAAATTTTCTTTATGTTCTTAACGCCCTGGAAATATCCTGGAATTTGAATCAGTAATTGGCATGTCACCCTGTCATATTTTTATTTCGGAAAGTTGTAGATAAGCGAATTTATTCTTTCTCGAAACTTTTTCATCATGTTTTCCTGACTTATTCAATTCACAGCTTTCTGTTAACATCTCCCTTACTCATTAAATCACTTTGTTTCTTACTCAAATTGTGGTTGCTTGCAACCATGTTAGAATTTATTTGTTGTAAATTTGCTTTACAATGATATTTTTTTTACGATGAGCATTTATAGCTTTTTAACTAAGCACTTTCAATAAAAGTTTCAATTTAAAAATTATGTTATTAGTATGATTGTTAATAGTATAATTTAACATTGGGCTAGGTGAATAAAAAGAAGCAATTGCTTTTATTCGGTAATTGGTCAGCTTTACATGAATAAAAACTTAAAGAATTTTCTATAAGTTTGTATTCACGTAAAGTTGACCAGTTACTAAGTAAAAGCATTTCTTCGCGTTGCAACGCGACGAATCGGTCATTTTTATTCGCCCGGCCTATTGATTGGTTATAATGGTTATAATGCGTTATTAAAGCTAATGTACTTATTTTTGGTAAATTATTTAGATCTTTGCGCAAGATTTTTTTTTATTGAATTGGCATTTAGTAAGAAAAAGATTTACGGAAAAATGCAAGAATAGAAAAATAATACAGCAGTATCATTTTTCTATTCTTATATTATGACTTAGAGCTCGTGTAACAAACAAATAACAGTAAAGTGCGAGTATTAATTAACACGTTTTTACTGTTATTTGTTTGTTACACTAAGTCGTGATACTTTGCAAGTAAAATTATGGTTCAACTTGTTCTCGAATTGTATATTTAATCAACTTATATTAAGAATTGTAAAAAAATTAATAGTTGTTACATTTTAATTAGGAATTTTTAAATTTCACAATTCTATTACCGAACGATATGCAATAGTTTAATTTCTTTTTTTTTTCAATTAAATGATTAAAAAGCCGATGCACAGTGGGAAATTAGATGGCCAAAAATCAGAAAAGTGACTTGGTTCAATCATTAAGTCTGATAGTGGGTTTTGTTACTATTACCCTCACTAAGAATTTTCCAATTTATGAAATTCTAAACGTGGCAGGCTCAATTGTAGTGGCTTCTTGAAGTTAGTTTTTTTAATGAATTTTCGATAAAATTCTCAAATGGGCGCTAAATAATTTTGAAAAATTGATGTTTTTTTAAACAAATAAAAAACTTCGATAAAAATAATTTTTTTCATTTATTACAAAAAGTAAAAAACATACAAACTACTTTAAAGCATGAAAGACCAAAATAAATTTGTTTTCATGTTGTTACTGAAATAAAAATTTTTTTATTTTAACTTTATGTGTTTATGGTTTTAAAATGCATAACTAATTTAAGAAAAAATAATTCTAAAGTGTATTTTTAATGTCCCACTTATCGACCAAAACCAGATGAATTTCTAAATGATGTTAAAAAGTTTCTTTTTACTTTGTAAGTTTATTGTTGTGAACTAAGACAATGGAGGAAATTAATTTAATACAAATAGTGCAATGTTTTCAGGTTTCGGTAAATACTTTTTTCACGCCTTAAAACATCCATTAAAGTTACTAAAATAGTTAAACTACAGGATCTTATGGATCATACATCCAAAAGGCTTTTGAAACTACGGGAGAAGAAAATTTTAAAAGTTTTGATGATAAAAAGAAAGACTTTGATGAATTAATACTAATTAGTTGTCAGGGTATGGACGAAACATCAAGTCACTAAAAATACTATTAGCGTTTCAATAATTCCAATCAAAATACCTTCAAGATTCGGACCTTATTAGTCACAGTAACATCACCTCTTCGAATACATGTAGAATCATATTTAAACAATTTTTTATGGAATAACATAATGTTTCAAAGTATTAGACTCTGTAGACCAATTATACTGGAGTATGTAAATGAGAAAAAGTTGATAAAGACATACTTATGTCCTAAAAGTTTACCTTTTAGGACATAAGTATGTCTTTATCAACTATAGTTTTATCCTTTCAATTGATGGACAAATCTTAGTTACATCACGGAGACTTCTTCGTCACCGATTTGTAACGCCACACCTAACATGATGAGCGATCTAAAAAAAGGTTTGTTACAAATAGGCAGGCATTGTGCTTTGGCATTTGACCACTACATGCTTGTATTAGGTTTTTTGAGTTTATTCATATTTCATATAGACTTGAAAAAAACTTGGAAAGTAGAAAAGGTTTTCAAAAGATCAATATTTTTTGAGAGAAAAAATTATACATTATAGGATGTTTGAAAAATTTGGTTTGAGAGTTGATGAACCAAAAGTTGGTGGATCAGATTTGAATATAATTTACCTAAGTTATTAATTTATAATAACTTAGGTAAATTAATATATTTTATATAAATAAAAAATTATCTTTTTAAAACATGTTTCTATCTAAAAGTAATGACTCTAAACCTTATCAATTTAAATTCATTGTATAGATTTTTTCATCAAAATTTTTGGGGGTAAAGCAACCACCTTTGCGTTGTCAGCACCTTTTATTAATTTATTTTCTTTTTTTTTTCTTTCTTTTTTGTTAGGTGAGGTCAGTTTTTCTTTTATTTATTCAGCATCAGTTAGAATGTGCTGTGTATTGGGTAACCTAAATCAAATGTACATTGTATTGTTAAAAAACGGTCTACTTGAGACTCATTTATTCAATGAATTATTTTATGCTGCCAGTAAAAAACTAAGAGATGAATCTATTGCTGTTGCTGCCAAGAACGTTTTAAATATTTCAAATACAGATAAAGCAAGTGAATATTCAGCAGACGAAGCACTGACTTTAATAATTGATGCTGACTTCATATCAATTGATTAAAAGCGGAGCCTTGCAGAAAGAATATAACATCTACCCCCCCTCCCTTACAATGATGTCAGCAATGCAAAGTTGAAATGTTATCCTGTAAATAATAGTTGAGGACAATTCAACTTTAGTTCCTTTAAAAGATTTAATGATAACTTTGAAAAAAATCTGTGCACTTAAGGAACCTGTGCTGAGGCACTTGATATTAAACAACAAAGCAATAAAAACAATGACGCTCACGTGTAACGCTGGTTTTGATGGTGCTAATGGCTAAAGCATTTATAAAAATATCAAATCTTTAGATTTAGATTTTACATTTTCTTGGTAACACTCTCTTCAGGATATGAAGACTGATTATTGTTTTGACACTGTTAGACTATATGCGTCCCTTTATCCATGGTAATACATGGCTCACAAAGCATAGTTCACAAAGCATTGATATATGGAAATCACATAATTAAAAGGCTTACATTACTCATTAGTGATATTAGTACTCATACTAATTTTAGTGAATATAGCCCTAATATTAAATTAGTTATGAATTTTGTCCAGTAAAAGTGAATTCTGGCCCACTGTGCACAGCAAAAATTCAAGCTTTTGAACATAAGCCGTAAAAAACTAACCACTTATTTTTTTACAGAAAATGCAATATCGTGTAATTTTGTTGTTGATGTTATTTTTAGGTTTCCAAGAAGACCTAACGGTCTTGTCAGAGAGCACCGCGGAGGTGTATTTAACCAGTTCACGTCTTCTTCCTTACCGTGAGGCGAAAATATGTCCAGAGCTCGTTTCGAACCTGGATCTCCTGCTTTTTAAGCAAGCGCTCTAACCGGCCACACTATTTAAGTAAGCCATGTTGGTATTTATTTTATTTACTTCTTGTTGTGTAATGGGATAATAAAATCACTAGTGAAACAAAAAAAGCAAATTTTTTGTGCTTTTGAGCAGCTCAAGCCTTGTCTAACAACTTTTGCTCGAATGTTAAATTTTCTTATTTGGTGTGTTAAATCTAGTACTAGAGTAGCACCTTTTTTAAGCATATATATCTCTTAGTACCTTAGTGCTTTTTTGAGTATATATACTCTTAACACTTATAAGTCTATGGTATTGCGCGGACTGCTGTTTTATTAGCAGGTTGGGTATTAGTTCCCAATTTTAGTTTCGAAAAAGTTTTTTTATTTGAAAAAAAAACAACCAAAAATTTAATTACATTTATAAGAATTTTGAGCGGGTACACGTAACTAAGTCGTAAAACTGGCGAATTTTGTTTTATAAAATACTTGGCGTTTAATAATTGAACGTATCTGTATATTTTATATAGTGTATACTTATATTATACATTTTATTTGTTGTATTTTTTATATTATATTAAACGTATCTGTGTTCTATATTTATATATTGCATTTTTATGTTTTATTCATTATATTTTATTTATGATATTTAATATGTTATTAATTGTTTATTATTTTATTTTATATTTATATGTTATTATTTTATATTCTTAAATAAAATTATTTGATAAATTTTCTGCATATTTTATTCAAAAATAAGTCTGTATTAATAAATTTATATTTATAAAATTTTGTTACATAGAAAAATGATTTATACTTTTCTAAAGTGTGCTATTTTAAAAGACAGTTTCTCTTATGAAGTGGCACTTCACAATATTAGCACATACGGGAGGTTGAGTTTTTTTCTTCTCTAAGTGCAGCACGGTACTCTCGCTGGGGTTTTACTCTTAAGCCACCTGTAAAAATGTTGACCAATTTATGTTTCTTTGCGTTCTTTGACATTCTCTCCTGAGGATCATTTCTTCTGGATGTAGTAGATGTTCTTGTGCAGAGCTATTCTCATTTCTTTGCTATGTCATGTATAAAATCATTTTTAATTGTTTTTGAATTTGGATCTGTTTTAAAAACTCTAAAGTTATCAAATAGCGCACAATTTATTAAAAACATCCAAGTTTTTTTTTTCGTTTTTTGTTCCGACAAATTTTGATCAGCGCAATTAACACCTTTTTTTTATAATCAACTTCACAAAGAGACTTAAATATACTTTCCTTTGTCCCCTAATCAATATTGTAGCTTTCTATAATATCGCTACAACGTATTGTCGAAATCGTTCTAACAAATTTTTGATTTCCAACAATGTCACTATGTTATGAAAAGTGTCAACACTATTATAATCCAAATATGCGTGGTGCAATAATCCATATCCATATATGCGTGGTGCCATAAGTTCAAATATGGTTGGAAAAGATTTAAAATTGTTTGTTGTAATCAAATTTTTCTACAGTATATAGGAAAAATAAAAATATAGCCGGTTTTAGCTACACAAACCATTCTTATAAGAATTCCATACTTTGCTGTTTTTGAAGCATTTAAAACTTTGAAGGATAGTCGTATTTTCCAAGACATGATGCTTTCATCTATACTTTGGCTAATTCATCTATATTACATCTAAATTCTGGCTGCGGTTGGTAAACTTCCTAAAATTTAGATTAAAAAAAAAGAAAACAATTGGGCGGATCTTATTAAGGCAATATTTATCCTCTCAATTAATTAGAATTATTGAATAAAATGCCATGAATACCATAACTGTCAAAATCAATCACAGATCATTACTTGAGCAAAAATTAGAGTTTGATTTTTTGTATCCGTCTTCAGGTATTCGTTGGCGTGTCTTTGCAAACTTTACCCATTAGCTGAAACCATGTTAGGTTTAGGTTTTTAATTCAAACACAGACTTTTAATTCTAATAAACAGATTTTGCATTATCTCTAAATAATTGTATATTTTGTGCATGGTAGCTGAACCATTTAGCTGAACCATATCAACTGCAGTCTCAGATCTATCTTGTATTGCATCACAGAAACCCCACTTTTTCCTTAGAAATGTTCAATTTCAGGTACATCATTTTGCGACAAGTCCAGTACTTCATTATCACTTTCTTCAGAGCTGCTTAACTGTATTGCTAAAATTCTACTTCTTTTTAATTGAAACAATTCTTTGTCACTTTCACTATTAAAGTCCGGAAACTCCGCATCACTTGGTATTTGCAATAAGTTATTGGCATATATTACTAGCACTATCACAATTCATTGCACATAAAATTTTGTCGCAAACTCAGCAAAGATTAAGGAAAAGGGAGGCAAGTTAGGACAGTGGTAGTTTAGGACAATGCAAAACTTAATAAAAAAAAATTATATACCAAGTTAAATATACTAGTCGGTTGGAAATATTTTTGCACGTAACCTTCACGGGATTTTTTTAGAAAGGCATTTCGGAAGCCTTTCTTTGAAACGTTTTTATAATTTTCAGTTGCGCAATTAGGATTTCTGAAAAGGGGTTTCCAATTTTATAAATCCTTGGCTTTTACGTTGTGAAACCCAAAGCGTGCACATTTTTTTTAAAGGTTGACTAAAATTTAATTTTTTTTACCAATTTTAAAAGGAGTTTCCGGGTATCATGGAATTGCGCTACTGATTTTTGATTTTTCTAAATTTTTATTTTTTAAACGTAAAAATTTACAGAGAAAATGACCTCTCTAAGGAATTCAATTTTTTACATTTTTAGTGAAAGAGAAATGTTCTACACTATAAATAAAAAGTTCAATTTTAAGACATAAAATTTTCATAAAACTTTTGTCGAATATGTTTCCACGAGGCGTATTTGAATGTACTGTCTTGACAATTTTTATCGGCAAATTAAGTTATTAAAAATGTAAACCATGTTTAATTTTTAAAAGTTTTACGAAGAAAACCTAAAAATTGCAGTAAAATATGTTTTTAATAAAATAATGAAACTAAGAGAAGCTGCAAGTGTATTTGGGTTCTCTATAAGCTGCAAGTGTATTTGGGTACATTATCTTACAGAATAAAAATTCTTAAAATAATAAAATACTAAAAGGTGATAACTTTTACACCACGTATTCTTTTCAAACTTTACATGTTCATAATTTTTGATCGCTAAAATAAATTACTATGCAACTTATACTTATTGATGAATATAAGTCTAGTTAAGAAAAGTATAAAAATGTTTTATCAACTTGTTGCTCTCACGTTTGGAGCAGGGGAGGGGGGAGGGCAAAAAGTTTGAAGCTTTTTTGTTCTTAGGCTCTAATTAACGCAATTTTTTGCAAAGTATCCTTATTTGACGTAATTACAAACATATACATATTTGTAATTAGCTCCATGTCTGAAAGTTAACTATCTAGACCAAAAAATGCTGGATCACTCTCAGTAAAAGGTCCCTATAAAAAATTGCAATTGATTTATTTATTTTTTTATAGAATATGGCATCATCAAACGAACTAACAAAATGTGTTCTTTTGCATTGTGACAAGACTCTTGAGAACGAAACAGAACGCTTTGCTACTACGCTACGCTCAAAATGTGGACACCTTCTCTTAGAGACTTTAGAGTCGTTAATTCTTAAAGCCAAAGGTAAAGACCAAGAGCAAAAATTGGATAATGTTATCAACAAATACGCAGATAAAGTTATTATTGTTTGTTCGCCAATACTATTTCAGTTTATAGACAAAAAGTCAATTGAGAACATTACTGATTTTTTTAAAGCAAATGAAAAGCTGTGCAGAAAGCATTTGTTAGAATTGCTTAAAAAAGATTCAAAAAAAAGAGGAAAGTTAGTGTTAATATCGTTTAACGTTATCCAAGCGTTTTCTAAAGAGGTGCAACAAACTTCTGTCATTACAAAAGGCGACGATGATTCCTTGTTTATAAATAGAGTACTTTCAGAAATTATAAAAATAAAATAAGTTCATAGAACTATAATAACAAAATATTTAAAAATGATAAAAAAATGTTTATGCACGGTTAAATATATTACAAAAACAAATTCTTTAGTTTTTTTTTCTAGTGAAAGCGCAATTAAGTAAATGTTAATTTAGTAAATTTATTTGTTTACTTTTGCTTATTAACTTCGCAAAATGTAAATTATTTGTTCATTTAGCGCAAACAAGGATTCCGACTAAACCTTTTGTACGGTGTTTTAAGACGAAAACTTGTTTGGGGTTGTCGATTAATTACGTCAACAAAAAGGGGGGAAGTGTGTCTGAATTTTTTTGACAATTGTTGACACGGGGGAGGAGGGAGGTCAATTAAAGTTGACGTCAACATTTTTTTTTTTTTTGAGTTTCATTGCTTTAATACCGGAAAATTAGGCTGAGTTTGTAGCGTATTTTTTTTGTATAGGGGGGAAGGGTAATCAAAAGTTGACGTAAATTTATAGGGGAGGTCTCTGGAAATTTGACAAGGAGGAGAAAGGGGGTAAAAATTAATGGACATCCCCTTTCCGTATTCAGTTTTTGTATACAGGTAAGTTTAAAGGATTCGTATACAGTTTAAAGTTTAAAGGTAAGTTTAAAGTTTTTGTATACAGGTAAGTTTAAAGTTTTGTATACAGGTAAGTTTAAAGTTTTTACTCATCCGTTTTTTTACGGAATGAAAGAGGAAACAAAAAAAATCACGTGAGCAGGCACAGTTTTCCTTCAAACAAATCAACGTATGCTCACGTGATTATTTTTTCCTTTCCTTTCCCGTTCCCGTGGAATAACGGATGAGTGGAAACTCACCTTAACAATGTACGGAAGTGTCACTGAGAAGGATCCAATATCTAATTTGAGTATACCTCTAGTTACGAATGTATCATCTATTACTTGTGGGTACGATGACGAAACGTTTTTGGAAAATCCTTTTAATGAAGTTTTCGATAATAACTTTTGGAATAAGGTCAGTCTTTTTTTATATTGATGATATGTAAATTAGATACCTCTAAATCTCTAATCGTTCAGTGTGAACTTTATAGAAAATTAAATCTATTGTAACAATCAATTCTATTTTACTGTAATATTTTTGAATAAAATAGGTAACAAATGCTTACAGTGATGGAATGGCATGGGCAGATGCATTAAATAAAGTTCGCATAGATATTATCTGTGAGAATTTTGTAAAAAACAACAAAGATCCTTTAGTTTCTTTGCTAACGGAAGTTTATGATAAGTTTGAAAAACACTTAAAAGAACCGCAGGTTATGTCTGCCTTTCGTTTACAGGTAAAAGTTTAAATATAATTGTAGTAACATGCAATATATATGGAGATAAAATATTAATTTGCAGGCAGTAAATTTGTAAGCAACAAAACTCAATTAGATTTGTTTTATATTTGTTATTATGACATATTTATTAATAGAGAAATAATGTATGATCATTATTTTTTCAATAACAAATAGTCATATTTTAAACCAGGGCTTTATAGTCAAGGTCCGAAAATTGGCTCTGGCTCCAAGCTCCAGCTCCATTAAAATTTTTGGCTCCAGTTCCGGAGCTGCTCCCAAGCGGCTCCGCAAAAAAAAAAAAATCAAAATTTTTTTTTAATTTTTTTATGACAGTAACTTTATGACTATTAATATTTTGTTAATCAAAATCTTGATTCATCCTTAAAAATAAAATATTGTCTAAAATATCTGGTTTACGTGAAGAACGCAGATCGCTTGACATAAACTTAAGTGCAGAAAATAGCCTCTCTACACTTGCTTGTGAGACAGGCATACAAGTGACAACTCTGCATGCTTCTTGTATTTTTTTTTGGGTATTCTTCAATTCCCTCAAAAGCTGACTTTACTTTTAAACGTCCCATTTCTTCCATTACCCTACAATTGTCTGTAAAATTTGTATTAAAAGTATTTTTATCATTAAAACTAATTTTGGTCAAACTTCACCTTTTTTCCATTGGAATTAGATTTACTTAAAACTGAAAAAAATGTTGTAGATGGCTCAGCAGTATTTTTTATTATTTGACTCTCTATCATACTTTTAGCATCTTTTTTATAAATTTTTTCTGCTATTGTTTTTAAGCCTTGTTTTGCTTGTATTATTATCTTCCAACAGTATTCTATATCTGGCATCAACATAAACTGCAGCTAGAAATATATCATTATCAAAAAGTTTTTCTTCTTGCTTCTGCATTGATTTTGAAATGTATTCTGCAGTTAGTCCTTGTTTCTTCTATAGGTCAGATTTTAATTTCAACCATTCCTTTAGGAATTCTCCTGAAGTGATGTTAATTTTCTTGAAGTTTAATTGTCGCATCATACAGCTTTTTTAAAAGTTTGCAAAGATGGCTCAACTCATTCCATATTTCAGGGTGTAAAAAGAATATCTGATCAACTGCAGCAAATTGCTCACACAGTGGATGCAAAAGTAATAATCGTTCAATCATCTGGAGTGTAGAACCCCAGCATGTCTCATTATCCAAAATTGTAATGACCTTGTATTGCTTCCTTGCCAATGATATCATATGTGAGTTTCTTAGTTTCTTTACAACATAACAGCCTTTTGGCAAAAGTTGGGCGACAAATGGTATTTTTAAAGCACTCGAGTAGCTAGCTGCAAAGTGGGAATAACAGCGCATCAGCTTAGTGTCATGAGACAATTGATGATACCATTCTGGGAAGACAAATGCTAGATTTTCTTCCTAAGCTGCTGCACTTTCATTTGTATCTTGTTGTAAAAACTCCTCTTGTTTTTTGTACTGCAAGGCTTCATCTTGAAAATTTTCATCACCTAAATATTTATATAAAAGTGTAATTGCTCTAATCACATTAGCTGCATTGTCTACACTTGCACATAATATTTAATCTTTGCTGATACCAAATCTATATGGAGTTTCTTCACCATTTTTTGATAGCAGCAGAGTTGTGCTGCCCTATCACTGTATCTATCAGTGACAAAGTTTTAACTTGATTTTTTACCGCATTATAATATTGAATATTTATTCCCAAATAGTTATTTTGTCAAATGGCTGTATCTATTTTCACATAAATAAATTTCTGTAACAAAATTTCCTTTATTTCAGCTTTTTTTTTTCCAGCAAATTCATTAATTAAATTGCATACAGAATCATGTCTAGTACTGGTTCCAAGAGTTTTACCTAATCGGCCTGTAACCAACTGAAATCTTTCATCCGCAAATGTTTTCAACAAAACTCTGTTATTCACTACCATTTTAATAATTCCCATTTTAAAAGTTTTAACACTAACTTGATTTATTGTTCTTCTACTAGTGATAGCAAAAGAATCTAAAGTAGACTGTTTTGATTTATTAGTATTGAAATCTTGTGAATGGGATTAAAATGATTCTGAAGATTTTCTTTTGGCCATAAGGCTCATTTTGGATTCAACAATTTTATATTCTGATAGATATGATCTTTCCAAATGCCATTTCATATTGTAAACTTCTGATTTTTTTATTTGCATGCCGCATGAAATCACTATTATTTATCTTTTCTGTAATCTTGCAGTTTAGTAATTTTATCAATTGAAAAATACTTATCTAGAAACAACTCAGGATTTTTGAGGGTTTGATTAATAATAAATAAAATAATTTAAAAACTTTATTATTCATTTATTATTTTTATTTTATTTTTGATTAACTAAATATAAATTAACACAAAATGTTATGGCAACTCACACAAACATAAATAAACATACTATTAAAAAAAGCTTTTATATTTTCAAATAAAAGTAAAAACAAAAAACTATTAAATTTTATTTTTAAGATAATAGAAATAATAAAAAAGTATTATAAACAAAAATAATATCAATAGTTTATTTTAAAAAACCTTTTTAAAATCTTTTTATAATTTCATTTGCAACTTGCGTGTTTAAATCTTTTTTAAAAATGTTTCAACTAATCATAAACTAATTATGTGACTTAACACATGGATAAAGTATATTTTTGTTAACCAATCATTGACATTGTCCAGAAGTATTGTTTTAAAGTAATTTATCATACTCAACAATAAGAACCACATGACATTGTACAAAATAATTGGATAAAAATTGAATTTTCAAAAAATTTATTTTTTGAAAGTAAACTAAAAATATTTTTTAAGCTCAAGTATAATTTTTCAAAATATGAAAATCAAATTTTAAAGATGCTTCAAGTTGTGCATCTATTACTTAACAGTTTAGACCATTTATATGACTATTTGAGCCCTGTATGCTGTTTTAACACAAATTGTATTCAAATCTAATTGATTTTTATTGCTTACACTACTTTTTATACACTTTATTAATCTTTTGACGTCAACTGAGTACCAATATATACTTTTTGTTTATAAACTAACCAAAAAGCTGTAGACCCTAACAATAAGAGTTAATAAGTTTTTTTGCAAATATATGCAAAAAAAATAAATAAGTGTATTTATTTTTTGGTATATACTTGCAAATGTTTTGGCCAAAACATTTGCATATACTTGCAAATGTTTTGGCCAATTAAGATATAAAACAGGTCCTCTCCATTCTTTTTTATCATAAAAATTAACTAAGAATCTTCCTTCAAACAATAATCATATTCTACTGGTTTAAATTTTAGCTGGCATTTTTGTTTATAAGATTGTATAAGTAAATTTATTTTCAGTTTTATACTAATCGTATCATTATTAAAAGAAATACAATTAAAATTTTGTGTTTTAGGCATAATTTTGAGAAAGATGTTTTGGGGATCAAATAATTACACCAAAATATTTTTTTGATGTCATGATTTGATTTTCATATGATCGTTTTATTTTACACCACCACAGGGTTTATAATGCAAAGTATGTGAACAAGTTGTAGGTACTTCAGCCCATTAAATAGTTAAAATGTTTTACTTACATTTGTTACAATTAATTTTAACTCCAGTACGAAACTTTAATACAAAAGTTTCATCATTATTTTTCATCTGATATCTTTTAACAAATATTTTGATAAACATTGTGCTTATATTAGGTCAATATATTCAATAAGTGATCATTTGATTTTTTTTGAAGTCAACAAGTATAACAATATATTTATTAAATATTTTCTTAAAATGGTCAGGGAAATCCTGGATAATTCTGGAAAAGTTTTAAAAATTTAGAAAATCAGGGAATACCTGAAAAAGTCAGGGAATTATTTTGAAAAATTTTAAAATCAGGGAAAACACAGGGAATATTTTTTAATTTTATATTAAGTTTGAAGTTATTGTGCAATATATAAATTTGGATTCTTTATTTTTGTTATAAGTTGTTCACTACAGTGGTTTTATAACTATCATAATATATAGCAACTATATATTATAAATCTTATAATATTTTCTGTTATTAGGTCTTTTAGCCTTTAATCAAGAAATCTTAAGTCAAACAACTTAAGACCATCGATACAATTTTCTTTCTTCTTGCTCTATGGCTAACTTGCTAACTGCTTCATATCAAGGTATCCCAAGGCTCTATTTTTGGTCATGTTTTGTTTCTTATCTACATTAATGATGTTACTAACAAACTTAGATATAAAGTGGCTAATTTGCTGACAACTTAACTTTATACTCCTGTCTTGACCGGCGGCGGATCCAGCATTTTTTGTTCTTTGAGATAACTTAATGACATGGAGCAAACTCCAAATATTTATATGTTTATACTTTTGTGAAATAAGGATGCTTGGCAAAAAATTGCAATGATTGGAGCCTGGGAACATAAAAGCTCTAATATTTTTGCAAGCTCTAATATTTTATCCTTAGAGCAGGCAGCCAATCTTGAATCTGATCTCACTTCTGTGCCAGATTAGAGCTTGCAGTGGTTTGTTAATTTTAAACTCAGTTATTTAGTGCAAACAACTATTGCAATACTGTCGAAATTTCTATATTCATGAATAGCAGTATAGAAATACCCTTTCACTGAGTTCTCTTCTTTACGTCTTGGATTGTCATTTACTACTGACCTCTCACAAAAACCATATATAATCGATTGCAAAATTAGTATTGGCTACGGTTGTATCTTTTTATTGTGTTTGCTATTTTCTTGTATGGAATATTGTTCTCAAATTTGAGCTGGCTTTATGTCTTATTGTAATGGTGCCTTTTTTCTTCTAGACTGTCCAAAAATTCATTGTAAACATACTAGGGCCTTCTCTATCAGTCAACTTGAACCTCTCCTATCGTTATATCATTATATATCCGCAATCTGCCATATTATCTAGATATTTAAGCTCTAGAAATTGTGAAACATGCACAGTTTGTTCAAAAGCTACATACAGAT